GCAGCTCCCTCTGCCAGGAGGCCCCTGGGAATCAATGGGTCCTCTGTCTGTGGTGGCGATACCACTGGGGAAGACAGGCTGAACATCAAGTGGACTGTGTCCTCTGAGAGAGGAATCTGTTTCTTTGAATAGGACTATTGTTGCATGGGCACTTCATTCACTCACATGAATTTAACAGTGTCCAACTCCCTGTTAATTTTTGTCAGTGACTGTGTAAAACAAGAAGAAAAAAAAGCCACCAACCATGAAATTCAAAGCAAAGGCAGCCGGTGTCACTCAGTGATGAGGCCTCCTTGACATTAAAGGTGTGCCTGGCCCATGACCACCACGTTGGTGACGTGAGGGAGGGTGTCTAGAAAGGCGCCAAGCCTCACCAGACACTTCCCCAGGGACCACAGCCATATGCTGTCTACTCTCTCTTCAACTTTTAACCATTAACACCACGTATGACCCTTTAAATGCTGCCCCACGGGTGTGGACATTGGCTTCTTTCTAGAGGGAGACATCTTACACAGTGCTGAGCTGGGCCCTTTGCAGCCAGTCTGTACATCAGGTGTCCGCTTTACAGATGATTAACTGAGCCACAAAGTTCAAGGACTTCCTCAAAGAAGCTGGAATGTGGTTCCCACTGTGCCCCACCCCGAGGCCTAGGGTTATCAAGGCGGCCCTGCAATTGCATAATGGATGGACACCTCTGCTAAAGGCAAAAAGATAAACATTTATTAGTTTATTTAGTAGTTTTATGCATATCAACCTTCAGTTCATGTGAAAATGGCAAAGGCCAGCCTCCGAGAAAATGGGGAGAGTCCCAAGAGCTGGATAAGCATTGCCAGAAATAATGAGGCTGAAGCAGTGTACAGAACCACAGAGGCCTAGAAGGAAATCTTCGAGTGTCACAGATCCCACAGAAAAACTTATTCTCAGGAGGAACCAACAGCATGGGTGAGACCAGGACTTTAAAGCCCAGGGCTGGCACCTTGGTGTGGGAAGGGCCCTGGAATGGCTGGTCTCCCACCTGCAGAGACACGGCTTCTGTGGAGGCCCCATTCCACTTAGGAGCAGCCAGAACCTCTTTTTCTCTGGAAATTTCCTGCAAAAAGAATCACAAGCTGCCTCTACCTCAGAAGTCTTGTGAGATAACAAGGCAAGGAGCAACTAAGAGAAGTCCTCTCTGGCACATTTCTTTATATAACACACCAGGACTCCCCAGAGTACCGGGCCAGGGGGAGAGAAATGATCAAAGCAAGATGGCCTTTCCACGCACATAGCTAACTCTGCCCATAAGCCAGTTCCCAGCCTCCAGAGGGGCATTCTGAAACATGCCAATTTCATTTCTTGGAGACTCTGTAGAAAATCCCCAAAAGAGGTTTGACATCAAGGTTATATTCAGAGCATGGCAGTGCCAGGGGCCTGAGAACCCAGAACACTTTATACCTCAGCCCAATGTGCAGATCTTGGGGGTCCAAAGGGAATGTCTTTCACACCTCAGTAAAGTAGGAGATAGGCAAATTCCAGGGCTTCACAATCCCACGCCCCTCCCATGAGCCCAAGAACGAGCCTCAGAAGGAGCCTGAGTACCTCTGGCCCCTCACTCTCATATGGATTAATTCGCAGTGTGGAGCAGGCTGTTTATGGGAATCCTCTGGTGGCTTAACAAAGCAACAGAAACTGAACCTGCAATGCTCTAGGACCCACAGGGACTGAGGACAACGTCCCTGTCCAAAGACCCTTTATGGTGGCCTGTTCCACCAGGGGCAGCCTCAGAAGAGGGAACATCATGTCCACCTGAGTTTCACGAGAGGGACACTAGGCAGCCAAGGACACCAGCCTTTCTTCCTGGCCATCAACAGCAAGAGGAAGGAATGTCCCTGCATGGGCTGTGCCACTGCTGACACCCACTCCTCAAAAAAGCCATCTCACAAAGGCAATGGACAGATGTGCCCGGGTGGGTGATGCCACCCGTTTATGTGGGAGCCACTCCCCACACAACTCTTTCTCAAAGTCATGACATGCCTTCCAGTGACTGTCATGAGACACATCTTGGCATGAAGGGAAGCCTCTTCCCATCCACTGCCCAGTAAAGAGCAAACTGCCCCATTAAAGTTTGTTCTGTAAACATCTTTCAGTGACTGGAAGCTGTTTAATGCTTTTGAAAATGAAGTTTCACATAGAACAGAATAAAACAAAAGGTGCTGCAGAAAGTATCAAACGATCCCTCAAAGCCAGTTCCAAAGAGAAAACTCCAAAAAAAAGGAAAAAGAAAGGACAGGAAGAAGCTGTCTGCAATGTTCAGCCTCTGTGCAGTGATTGGGGCCTGTGCTTCAAACACGACAATGTCCTTGAACTCAGGTGAAGCTCCAGGCAGCAGGCCCCACTCAGCTGGAAGCGGAATCAGCTCCATATGAGGCTGTTTGTCTGCCTGCCCACAGCAGGGGAGCCTCCTAGCCACCTGACCACTCAGGAACCTGAGCCTGCAGTGCTTCTATGCCTAATGACCACACATAGAAGCAGCAGCAGCAGCACCAGATGCTACCACAGCCAATTTAGCTTTTAAATCTGGGCCACATGGGAAGAGCTGAACACAGAGGGAGGGCATGGTTTACAGGTGCACTGAAGAGCAAGTGTAAACTTGGCCATTTTCTCACCCATAGCCAGTCACACTCCAGCTTGGGCTCATCAGGGCCCCGTACTCAGCACAGTTATGAAGTCCTGAAAACAGGAAGGCCCCAGAGATCTCTGCTTAATTGCTGGCTTCTCGGGCTCTGCAAAGCTGCCTGGCTCCCAGATCTTCAGAAAAACCCCAAGTCGGAGATGAGGCCAATGTCTACGCTGCCACCCAGCGTGTCTGTGTCCACCCACAGTTCAGCCACAGGGAGGCTACATGCAGTTTCTGCTTTGGCATTTTGTAACATCTGATTTCACACTCAAATCTAAGTAGTCTGATGGTGTCATTTCCAGTGACCACAAAGACGCTAAGGAGCAATTTAGGAAAGGTAGGAGAAATAAGCAACTGAAGAGTCCTCTTCAAGACTACCAAGAAGAAGAAGATCCAAGAGCAAAATGACAAAGAGCAGTTGCAAGAAGTTTACAGAATCTAACAACCAGAACCACCTCCCAGGGCAGAGCTGAGGACGTGGAATAGCTCAATGCAGTGATTCTGGGGCAGGAAAAGCATTAGAGGTGCTGGCCCTAAGGATGTGCGTAAATGTGAACATACATAACTTCTATCTTCTGGTATTTCAAAGATAAATCACACACTCTTTACAAAACTCAGCCAGCCAGAATGGCTCATTACTTGAGGGCTTTAGGATATGACAAGGCTAACAGACTATTTTACAGCTTGCATTGGCAGCCACAACCCATTTATTAAAGCAACCCTAATGAGAAGGCGGGTTCCTCCTCTTGAGCAGGGTCTGATTAGAGGCTGTCCTGGACAGCCATGAGAGTCCTGGTTAGTTTACCACACAGTCCTGAAGACAGGCCAGAGGGTCCTGGATTATGCTGCTATGGGCAGACCCAAAGCCAGAACTAACTGTAAGAGGAAAGGGAAAAAGAAGATGCCCTGGGAACTGAGACCTGGTGACAACATGGGTTCATCCCATGATGTCATCCATCTGGGGACAGAGGACAACTCAAACTAAGTGACCAACAAGACAAAGATATGCAAGTATCTTGTTTATTTAGCTGAATTGCTCATAATCATTCTCTGATTTATATGATTTCATATTATGACTACAGGTGACAGGTTAAATGTGGACTGATTTAAAAAAAGTGGGGATAGAAATTAACTTAATAACTGCAATTTATATAGCAAACAAATTATTTCATGCCTATAGTCTATAGAAATAGGTAAGAAAGAGGCTTCCAAGTGATGGTAATGTTATAAAGGACCTCAATGGGACAGAATGACTTCCTCAAGTCTCAGCCACACCCCCCCAACTCATTCCAAAATCAAAAACCAGAGCCCAAAACTACATACATACATTCATGACATAAAAAGGTGACCAGTTCATCTCACTATGAGAATGAAGTAGGACCTTCAGGGACCACCATCTCTGCCTTCTCAGATGCTTTGTAAACTGTATCTTGGGAAGAAGAGAAGCAGGCAAAACCAAACAGAAAAACAGCCCTGAAAATCAAGTGTCCCAGAAGGAAGGGACAAAGGGGACAGGTGACTCAAATGTGATGGCAGCGAAGGACATTTATATCAACCACCAGGGGCAAAAGGGACCGGATGGCAGTGGGGGATGCCACATATCACGGCACATGTTCCTGATACATATGTGGAACCTGTTTTCCTGGAGAGCTTTTGTGGCTCTTGAGTCCCAGGGTAACTGAGGACACCTATTTAAAGGCTGCGAGCTCAAGTATATGCCCTTAAAAGAATGCATCCTTCAAGCTTGAAGATGTAAACAAAGCAGAAATAATTAGCTTTATATGGATTAAAGATTTCTGAAATAATACTACCAGAGTATTTGTATCTTAACACCTAAGCCCATCTGCAGTACTGCAAAGAAACTAAATTTATCTACCATGCTGCACACATTCTCACAACAAGGACTTTGATGCATCCAGCACAAGAAGCACAAAGGAGCCCGAGGGGAAAAGCCCACTGAACTATCCACTTCAAAGAGCATGAGATCAATGCTGAGAGGGACAGAGGAGGCTTAGGAAAGGGGTAGATCTGACATTTGTGATGCTCACAGATTGGCAGAGAGGGACAAACACACAGAAGTAGAGAGAGTAAGAAAGAGAAGAACAGAGTAAGAGAGAGACAGACAGAGACAGATGGATTTGCCACATTGGGTATGACGAGCTGGCAAAGTCAGAAGTTGGATTTCTAAGGCAGACATTGGCATGGCCACAGCCAGACCCATGGCAGAAGGCAGGCCTGAGCCCAGTGGTCTGTAGCAGTGGAACACTGAGGAACTCCCTCCATGCAAATCTAAGTGCCATACAGGCGTGAGGACATCACCCCAGCCACCACCGGGAATGCCTACCTTTCCCATAGAAGAACTTCCGGTAGTAGTACGCTCCAAGGTCCACATGCTCGATGATGTAGCGCTTGACCTTCTCCCTGTGGATGGGCTGGCTCTCCCGGGGGACCTCCAGGACTGAGACACCTGCATTGGTACAGTGGGAGCTGAGGGACGACTCGAAAGAGCAGCTTTCACCGGAGCTGAAGGAGCCTGAGCTGGCCCGGGAGAGTGCGATCCTCCGGTCACCCTCACCACCAATCTCATTCCTAAAGTGTGAACAGCTGAGGACCAGGTCGTTGCTCTTGCCATCGCCCTCATCTGCATCCAGGTTTTCCTTGGAGTTGAGGTCCTCTTTGCTGCCCAGTGGAGACTCGCAGCCACCTGCCTGGCCTGTGGGCACCTGGGTCTGTGACGCAGCAGAAGCCCCAGTGGTGATATTTTTCCTTTTGCCCACATTAGCCCTTGTAGCCATGGCTTCATTGATGTTGAACAGGATGCTCTGTACGTCATAATGCGCAAAGCAACGCTGGCAACTCCAAGGGCGAATTCCCCTGTCAAGACAGCCCTCTTCCAGGTCAGACGTGAACTTGAAGTTCTCATGCTCACTCTTAACGGTCCGCAGCTTTCGGAAGAGGGATGTTTCCACAGACTCTGATTTTAACCTGCGCTTAAAAGGCTTGTCCCTGTCCCTCCCCATCAGAAGGGCACTGTCCATGTAGTCTAATCCTGAGATGCGGACAATCTCTCCCCTAGAAATCTGGGCTGCAGCTCGAAGGCTGGGAGAGATCGCAGGGTCACAGGGGAGAAACTCTGGAAATGCAAAAGAGCCTACTGCCTTAGGGTCATAATTCTCCACTCGATACCCCCGGAGCATGGCAAAGAAGTTTTCTCCAGACAAGCCCTGCCTGTCAATGGAAGATGTGCTCCCATACTCCCTGTGCAGGGCAGCCCCAGTGTTGGGGTTGACGGCACGCTGGTCTAAGACGTCTTCAGCATCAATGTCACTGATGGTGACGTCACTGTTGCTTCTCTGTCGTATGGGGTGGAGTCCTCTTTGCGGGGAGTGAACGAAGATATCCCCGATGGTGTATTTGGCTTCTACGAAGTCTAGATCCAGCTGTTCCTCTTGCTGACTATCGCCCTGGTCACTCTGCCCATTTTGCAAGATGGATGTGACACTGTCATAGCTGGTCTGAGACCGGCTTTCCCAAAGTGTCTTGCAGGTTGGCTCCTTGGAGAAGTCTTTTTTGGGAGGCCATTCAGATACTCTGGCTCGCACACCCATCTTGGGCACAGGTGGAGTACCATTAGCTGGACCACCACCACCACCACCACTCTCACTGGGATTTGAGGCATTTAAAGAAGCAGTAGGTCCCATGTTGCCATTGATGGCTTTAAATTTTCGAGCAAAATAATCATCTGACTGCATGATTCTGGAAGGGTCCATGAACTTCGAAGAGGCTCTGCCAAGCTTGTGCTTCTCTGCTTGTGACTGCCTTGGGTCACTCATGTCCACGGAGGCAAGAAGCACCAAGTTTCACCAGCACATCTGGTGAGAAGCCACTTCCATTGCCTTTAAAAGACTAGAATAAATGCAGATATAAAGGCTTGTTCTATGGTGCTATTTGTTCCTTTTCATCAAAAACAAACAACATCCTCAGAGCACAGTTCCTCTAAAGTCACCTTGTTTCTCAGTTGTTAAAATAACTTTGTCACCTCTGTTCTTTTTAACAGCATTCCTGGAGAAGTCTGGAGAGTATTTCTTTTACCTGAATTAAAAGACAGCAAACAGCCATTAGCAACTGATTTAGTTCAAGTTCAATACATTCTGCAGACTGCTTTCTCATCTTTCATGCCTGCTTCTGCCTATATCAATTACCCCAAATTGTTACAAAGTCTCATGTCTTCCAGCCACTGTTCACAGTGCTTGGTTTCTCTGGAGCACCTGTTCTGCTTTGCAAGGCCAGCCAGAATTCAAACAGAGCCAAGCAGTAAGCTCTTGGAGAAACCACACAGGGTGTCTCCCACCCTTACCCACATTTGAGCAAAGAGCACTTCCCCCTTGCAATATCCACACTGACCGTATATCCAAAAGCAGCCTATCTCTAATTGCTATACCCAGATCAGTACCATACTGGTAGACTTCCAGCCCCATGAAGCCAGGAGTCTTGCCCTTCAGCTGTATTCCAGGCTGCTTTCATAGAGCCTAATACAAATGAGGTGAGCACACCACATGAGTAAATCAGCTCCAAGAGAAATACTGAGAGTAACAGTCATGTAAGTAATGCATCTGAGTGCCATTACACTCAGAGGAAGTTTCAGAGAAGCCAAAATGTCCCACAGCAGAAGAGTCAAAACCAAATGAATTTTTATAATGATCATTCACAACCAAACTGGAGCTTTCAGAGGCCCCTGAGAGCAGGAAGGAGTCAAGAATTTGGTGACTGAAAGAGTACAGTTTCCAACTCACTATGCCACAAACAACTATCTATCAAATGGGCAGGATAAAATAAGGCAAGTATTAATCCAGGTGCTACAGATACTTGATCTGATCAACTCTTAAACTATGAATATTTTTATTTTCTTTTCTATCTTCAGTTAGACAAAAATATTCCCAGGTATCACACATTTTCCCAACTCATGACATGCTCATATTTCCCAACTCACTGACCTAAGAATGAAAGAACAATTCTACCTCTTCTGAAAATGATGGTGAGAAAGGTGTAATAAAGCCAATTTCTCTCACCCTTTATGAAGGGATAAGATACAACTGCAAATTCAGTTGGAAAATACTAAAATCTCAACTAGCTAGACAAATAATGTGCCAACTCTTTCCAGTAGCCTTAGATGGCCATGAGATATGTGGAGGTATCTTGGAATAGAGGATATTTTCCTATGACAACAGTTGCTTTCCTCCCACTATCAAAAAAAAAAAAAAAAAAAAAAAAAAAAAAAAAAAAAAAAAAAAAAAGGAAAAAAAAGAAAAAAAATCGGTCTGGGCATGACAGTGTGCTATTTATCCCAGAGCTGTTTTATAACTGAGAAAATATGATATTTTAGGATGTGGCAAACAAGGGGAGAACGAGCAGTCAGATGCACAGAACAGAACAGAAACACTGGCCCAGCATTCTCAGAAAGACAGATAAACAACTACATTTTATCTATTCCACTTAGAATTATTATGTTTAAAAGGATCACAGATGACTGAATTATAGTTATTTCCTGTGCAATTTAGGCTATTATCAATCCATCCCTGGAAACTGAAAAGGTGACAACCAAGGTACAAAAGAACACATTTCAACAGAAATGTGATTCACTCAACTAGGCTGCTACAGAATCTATCAATTCTGTTAATACTTGCTGCTTAAGGAACACAACAAAATTTTAAAGCTTAATAATTACTCCCAAGAGTTGGTATAATGCTATGAGAATTCTCAACAGGCGTCATATCAAATTCAGATAGTATTAATTTGGAGATATTTTATGTACAAAAGGAAGGACCCTGCCCCACCCAGCACCTAGTTTCTGGAAACATAAACAGGAACTGGGTGCTAACCACTTTAGGAAGTTACAAAGCAAACAGCATGTACCAGAGGAAATGAGAAATTAATGGAATGGAAGAAAAGTTGAAAGAACAAACAAAAAAAATAGTTTTTAAAAAGATTAGGAAAATAGATATACTCCTTTTTCCAAGCCTCCAAAGAGAGACAGAACACGAGAAAGGAGACCTAAGCACATATATGGGAGACATTAAAATAAATACAAATATAAAAGTATACCAGAAGCAAGTACATGGCAACAAATTTTTACACTGTCTCATTTTACATGAGCGCAGGCTCATGGCCATAGGAGCTTGAGAGGATAATCTGTCCTTGAGTCCACACTGATGGTCTTGGTGATAATCTGTAAGGGACAGACAGAAACGGAGAGTGTGTAACATCTAAGCACACTATACTTGTCTTTAAATAGAATGTTTTTCTAAATTTTCTGACATAAGTGAGTCTTTAAGACCAATATGATGGTTATGATTGAGCCTCTTATCAGGACTGCAGCTGGAACACATGGAGTGAAAACCACAAGACGCACAAATTACGAACCCCATTCAAGGAAAAATGATTAAAATTATGTAGCAGAGTGATAATACAAGTATAGAGTAAAAATGCTTATTTTTCACACCAGGGTCCCATCCGCCCTAATACTAACATGTTATGGAACAAGAAGAAAAATCGACCCCGTTCTTCCCCCTCCGTGGACAAAGACAACATGGGCTGAGGTACGGCTGCATTACTTACACTCACTGCATACGAGGACACTGACACCAAGAATATGAGGCAGTCTGATAACTATAACAGCAATGGTTGTAAATCGATATAGGAGTTCAGTTTTTATTGGACCAGCAAGTTTTGGGTAAGTTCTGGCCATGAAAATTGGTCCTAGGATGTTTGTTTTAAATTGAACACTGGGACAATATACCAAGAGGTAAATATTTTCTGACATAAGAACACAGAAAATGATTTTCCTCTTTGGGGTTTTGTAACATGGGGATAACCTATGATTTTCAAGAAGCACGAAGTCTTTTCTTCTTGGAAGATCACAATGGTGTTAGCCCAGTGTTTTCAGTGCTCCACACGCTATCTGGGGGAAATTCTCAGAGTCCCCAGAGAAGCTGTCCCCACGATTCAGTCCAGCAGTTTTACATCAGAGCACAGCAAGATCTCAGTAAAAATCCTAGAGGCTTCAGTCCCCATGAAAGCCATTTGCTGGGAGTTTGTGGTGACCTGCCTTATACACAAAGGTGACCAAGAGGATTAAACACAAATCTGTAAGTTGGGGCTCAAGCACGACCCTATGTGTGACTTGGACATGGTGGCCTCCATCTCAGCAGGCCATGGGCTGCTGCATTCCTCGCTTTACTCCCACAGCAAGCGCTGAGCCTGGCCTTGGCCAGCACTCAGACCAGTTCACATATGTCCTTCTACTGACATGGCTGCAGATCAAAGAGCTGTGAGGACCAGCCAGCACATTACTGTAGCACACGCACTCAATAGCGACTCCCTGCACGCTGCTTTGGGTGCCTGGCTGGCTCCTCCACCAGGGTCTCCTTAAATGTATATCCCAGGTGCCTTCTCTTATAACCCTGTGCACTTTCTGGAGCATCTGAGCAATCTTCACACGCTTTCTATACTGGTGACTCACAAGTCTTAACCCACAGCCTGAAGCTATCTCAGTCAACACTGCCAAACTGCTCGGTGATAGCTTTCTAGCCAAACCCACTGCTCATTCGGTGCCCTCAAGGTGCCTGCGAGTTCACCTTCTAATGCACCTCCCAAGCCACACAGATCTCTGCTTCAGGTGCCTCTGCCCCAGCTCTTCACCGAGCCCCCTGACAGTTTCCCATTTCCCTCAAAGCAAAGCCCAGGCTTTATGGCAGCACAGGCTACCACATCTGACCCATGAGTTGCAGCCACCCCTGGGCTAGCTGCTGACACTCTTCCCACCGAGCTCACCCTTGAGGAACCTCATGTTTTCATTTTGGGGCTCTACATGGCTGCATCCTGCCCAATACACATGACCCTGTCCCTACCTTGCTATAACAAGTGTCATCAGTCTGAGCTTAACTCCCACATCACATTGTTGGAAATCCACCTCAACTCCTAAGGTTGGTTCTACAGGATCTTGCTTTGGCCCTGTAGCATCCTGTACCTCTTCCCCTAAGCTCTGTCACACCATTTCATACATTTACCTGCCACTGTGCTCTAAATGCTGCTGCACGTGAGATTCAGATGCTAGCCAGCCCCACCACAGGTAGCTAAGACAGGGAAGCTGCTCGGCCTGAGGCTCAACTTCCCATCTGTAAATTGAAAAGAATTACATCTATTTCAAAGGACCCTTCTAAACATGCAATGAGATCTAAAATTCTATAATAATAAATAGCTGAAAAAATTTTAATAGAGTATTTACTGATAAACATATTGACCTCAAACTGAGCAAATAAAACAAGAGGATGAACACCTATTCCCTCTTTACCAAAGGAGACAAGCCCTGGCTGATGTGTGCACAGTCATCAGAGGGACACAATGGCAGTGACCTGCAATGCCAAAGCTGATTTTCCAAGAGGCAGCAGAGCTCTGAAAGGCAAGGGGATGGCCCAACAGCCTCCAGACGGCACTACATTCTCTTCCCAACTACAACTTCTATTCAAAATTACTTTGAGACTTCTACTGTAATGAAATCAGGTTGGCATTTTCGAGTCTCTATATGTTAATAAAAAACAGGAACCAGGGCTGGGGATTTAGCTCAGTGGTTTCACCATCTGCCTCCTAAGAGCAAGGATTTGAGTTAGATTCCCAGAACCCCCTCCCCTGCAGCCCCCGCCCCCAAAACAGGAACCAGATCTTGGTAGCAAAGTGTACTCACCTTTGCAATCCACCTGTGTCAAAAGCAGACTAAACAAAAGAGCTATTGTGTTAAGTGGACAATTTTGATCACAGAGTTTTTGAAGGGGCAGAACAGCTGTGGATACTGGCTGCTTCCCATGAAATCTCTTAAATCAGAAGACAGAAGTGCAGCCTCCTCCTCCCTGGGGAGGCACTAGCTAATAGTCTCTTCAGCATGGGCCCTGGGTGGCAAAAGAAACAGCAGGAAACTGCTCGCTCCAATTAATAATTTAAGATGAGGCATTTAGGTCTGAGCAAACACGGGAAAGGAAGAAAAGAATTTCTATGTAACTCCAACCAATGTAGACTGAATTTGTTATTTCCTTTAAAAA